TACAATCCATAGAACAAAATAAATAGCTGTGAATCATATTTAAATTTTTTCAAATTAACAATTGAAAAAATAAATGAAGGGGAAGGAACAGCTCTTGCTTACATAGAATTCTGTTAATAAATATAGGAGTAATGATGGAAATGGGTAATAACTGTTGGGCAAACACCACAGTAGTGGATATTGAAGACTAGATCCACCTATGCATGCTAAAATTAGTAGATGAAAGTATGGTGACAAATGGGGTATTTGCATAGCCTCGAAGTATTTCGTCACAAGATACTTAACAATTTCAAAGGAAAAATGCTAACTCTTCAATGGAGAAACCTGGACAGATACCACATTAAACAAGTATTCAAAGTTAATATGAGATAGAGCCACAGCATGTTACCTCCTGATAGATAATGCATCGAAAATGTACACTGTCACTTCTGTGGTCATTTTTCCCTATTGTTTTAAATTATATTTTTTAGTTTGAAAAAAATTATAGATTCACATGTAGTTTTACCAGTAATACAGAGATTCCATGTATCCTTCACCTATTTTCTCCTAGTGACAACTGTAGTTGCAAAACAGTAGTTCATTGTCATAACCAAGATACTGATAGTGATGTAGTCAAATTACAGAACATTTCGATCATGACAAGGATTCCCGGTGTTGCTCTTGTATAGCCTCCTTTATAAATTGGGCTGCTTGGTTTTTGTTACTGAATTGTAAGAACTCTTTATATATTCTGGATCATATGGAGTTTCCCCTCCATACAGTGAATTATACTATTTTTTTAGTATTAAAATTGTGGTATAATACACATAAAATTTGCCATCACAACTATTTTAAGGTATATAGTTCAGGGGTATCAACTACATTCATACTGTGATGCAACGGTCATCACTGTCCATCTCCAGAACTCTCTTCATCCTATAAAACTCAAACTCTGTACCCATTAACAGTTTCCTGTTCTCTCTTATCTACTGGCCCATGGCAATCACTATTCTGTTTTTTGCCTATATGAATTTGACTAAACTAGGTGACTCATATAAGTGGTATCATACAGTATTTGTCTTTTTGTGACTGGCTTATTTCACTTAGTGTAATAACTTCAAGGTTCATCCATGTTGTAGCCTGGATTTCCTTACTCTTTAAGACTGGATAATATTCCATTGTATGTATATCCCACATCTTGTTTTTCTCGCTGATCTGTCAATAGACAATTGGGCTGCTTTCACCTTTCGGCTACTGTGAATAATGCTGCTATGAACATGGTTATCAAACTACTTACTGTCTCTTTGAGACCTTGCTTTCATATATACCCAGAAGTGGGATTGCTAAATGATATCATATCTAGATTTTTCTTTTACTCTCCCTCTACTTTCTACTCTCCAAGCCCTGTCTTTCTGAGTATCTTTCCCTTTAGAGATTTAAGTTTTAAAAGTTCTCATCTACATATTTCTTTTTTTCTAAAAAGGTTTATTGATTTTTGAGAGAGAGGGAGGGAGGGAGGGAGAGAGAGTAGGGGAGGGACAGCCAGAGAGGGAGACACAGAATCTGAAGCAGGTTCCAGGCTCTGAGCTGTCAACACAGCCTGATGTGGGGCTTGAACTCACAAACCATGAAATCATGACCTGAGCTGACGTTGGACATTTAACCAACTGAACCCACCCAGGTGCCCCTACTTATTTCTTTAAATAACATAGTAAACCCTTAATTAAAAGGCCTGTTCAGAGAATAAAGTATAGTTGTTATCGAATTTCCTGGCCAAGTGGCCAGGAACCCCCCTTTGTTTCAGTTCTTGCTGTTGTAGTGTGTGAGTTCATTTTATTCCCTTACTAAGTACAGTGTAGCAGACATAATTGAATTTCTCTGATAATTCAGGATCTTGTAATGCTTCAGGGCTATCATTACAAACATAGATTCACAGTATAGTATACCACAGGGCAGAAGTTACTGGGGAGTGGTGCAAAGTACAAACCCCTCTGGACTCTTTATAAAACTAATCCTTGATTTCTTCTGTTAATTATGTATTTATAATAAAATTAAACAATATAGTGTTATATCATAATTAACTGATGTTTGAAAGATGTTTACTAAACTTACTTTCTCATCTGGCCATCTCTACTATTTTTTTTCCTACTCTGCCTTCCTCTTTGCATCTGTGTCCCCATATCACCAGAAAATGGGCTGTCACCTAGCTCGGAGTAAGCATATTTAATAGGTGTAACTTGTAAAAGCAAACGGAGTCTAGGATATGGTATTTTGTATATCTTTGTCTCCCAGCTGCATTTCCCTTTCTTTTACTATACTTCAAGGAAGAAAAACAGAGTTTTGAGGAAGACAGGGTTAGAGAATGGAAGAGGTAGAAGAACTGAGATGAAGACAAAGAGCAAAGAAATTATGAAGAAGCAGAAAAGTGGAGAAGAAAAAGGAGGGTGGGGCTAGGGGGCTAAGTGAGAGCAAGACAGGGTGGTTACAGAAGTCCCACAGTCAGTCTTCATGTAGTTCCTCCTCCTTTGAACTAAATAAAACCCAGATCCCTGAGAGTCTGAGAAGGAATTCCCAGGAACTTCTACAGTGGTGACAAGTGTATAAGCCAGAGGCCACTTGCGCCAGAATGAACTTAATCAGCATCGTGCAACAGGCATTTCTTGAGTGCCTGTCATCCACAGCTTCCTGAACTCAGTAATCACCAGTCCACTAGCCAAGAATAGAAAAGACCAACCTCCATTCTAGATGATTTTTTCACCACTGTGAATATAAGGGGCTGGAGAATTGGAGGGGAGGCTTGACGTTCTGCCTTTTTGCCCCTTCAGCAGATAATGCCAGTGATGCTTGGATGCAGAAGTCCTACTGTACCAAACTATTGATTTGAACCTTTCTTGACAAGGAGTAATACTGTACTCTCTTACAAGTAACAGAGAAATAAAGATATTGGCATATTTGAAACCTAGTTTCCCAGGCAGGTGTGATGGGTTCTTCTCACCTCTGTTTTTATCGGACCATTTAGGGCTTACATGATATATGTCCACACTTTGAAGGAGACCTAGGAACCCAAAGGCTTAACAATTTTAAATATACCTTTTCCATGTGTTATTCCAGAATGAAACTAAATATATTTTTTGAGTAATTTAGTTACAATGAAATTATAGCATCCAAGCCTACATTTTTGTACAAGAGTCAGGAACCGGAAATTAGAAAAATATAGGCAAGATGATTGATCTTAATAGATTGCTGATGTTGTACTATTTATAGCCTAGTTTGCTTTTCTGATCAGAAATTGCTCTTCTTCCATGGCCTAAATAAGTTGTTAAAAACTCTTAAGGTAATTTTCATTACAAATGTGATTCCTGTCCTAGAATTTCCAGTCTGCCCAAGAAATAAACAGGAACCAGGTACACACACAATGAGTGAATTGCTTGCAAAGAGATGCTTATGAGAAGATCATAAATCAATAGTTCTCAGCCAGGGTGATTCTGACCCGTAGGGGAATATGATAGTGTCTGGGGATAGTTTTGATTATCATACCTGTGAAGGAGGTGCTCCCTGGCTTCTTGGTACAGGCCAGGGATGCTGCTAAACATCATATAGTGCATGAGACAGCCCATACAACAAAGAATCATCTGGTCCAAAATGGCAGTAGTGCTGAAGTTAAAAAGCCGTGTCATAATTATGTGCCAAAGATACAGTATGGACTGGTTTGATACTCCAGTTAGTCAGTGACATTAGGAGAAACCCAAGGTGGTGCCTACAGTTGTGGCTACTGTTTCTGAGTTTTTCAGGGTTTTTTTTTTAACTTCCAGATTTCTATATTGAAATTATTTTAGACTTATAGACTGAATAATTTCAATCTCTGTCTCTGCTTCCTTAGCACTTGGTACACAAGAGGCTTTGCAAATGTTGAGTGAAGTGAAAGAACAAAGAAAGAGACACATTAGGAACAGATCTGTTTAGGTTGCACTTCTAGGTACACTGTGTGAAGCTTCGCTCAGAGCAGAGGGGAAGGTCTGGAGATAAGCTTCTTGGTTTCCTAGAAACACCTGGTAGGTCATCCCCTGCACCACCTGTGCTTTGCTTCTGCTTGGCTTGGGCTTGTTAGTGCCAGGGGAGCTGCTGTCAGGGAGAGCATGTCCTAATTAAGCCATCAATGCGCTTGAGCCTGGAAAGAGGTCATTTTGCACCTTCTACCTTACCCCTAGTCCTTGCAGGTGGCTGCGATAGTCCTGTAGGGCATTGCCTGTTAAATACCCGTGTGTATGTGTATTCTGATTAAAACCTAGAAACCTAAAATGTGGAAGGCTTCTGTAACCCTGATAATAAAGTGGTATATATTCCTCCAGTTTTTTAAATGTATGTATTAACATATATAAATATATAATTATTAAAAAGAAAATATAATTATAATTTTATAGTATGCTATTTTATAATGTGTTTTTACCATACTGTATTGTGGGCTTTCTTTATTCTAGTGTGAGGGGTAAATCATTTAAAATTGTCTGTAAAGAAGACCATAGGGGAAGGAAGGAGGGGAAGGGGAAAAAATAGTTAAGGAGAGGGAGGGAGGCAAACCATAAGAGACTCTTAAATACTGAGAACAAACTGAGGGTTGATGGAGGTAGGGGAGAGGGGAAGGGGGGTGATGGGCAAGGAGGAGGGCACTTATTGGTATGAGCACTGGGTGTTGTATAGAAACCAACTTGACAATAAACTATAATAAAATCTGTAAAATAAGGATTTTAGTATATACCTACTTCAGAGGTATTAGAAAGACATCAATATAAATTAAAATTTATAGTGTGAGTTTCTTAAATGAAAATACCATGATGTTATTATGTACCATGCTGTATTTTTCATGGATTATATCAATTGGGATGATACTATTACTGGTTTCTTTTGATGGTAAAATATTTTTTAAAACATTCTGAATCCTCAGAAAGAAACCAATATAGCTGTGTCAATGTTGTTTGTGTAATACTGTTAGATTTCAACCACTTTTTTTGTGTTCCTCACAGGCAAGTATGTGTATCAGCCTATGACCCCTGTGGAGCAGCTTCCAAGCACGGAGATTCCTGCAAAGCCTCGGGAACCCACAAACACCATTCAGATCTCAGTCTCACTCACTGAACACTTTTTGAAATTTGCATCTGTCTTCCAGCCACCCCTCCCCCCTGATTCACCAAGGTACTGTATGATCTCAGACCTCTTTATCGACAACTATCAGGTTAAATGTATTAATGGGAAGATGTGTTACGTGCAGAAGCAGCCGGCGCCACATTCCCACAAAATGAGCCCTGAGGAGGTCTCTACACATGATGCCTTAATTTCAAGAGAGAGCAGTACACCAAAAATAGATCACTGCTCTTCTCCCTCAAGTTCTGAGGACTCCGGGATCAATGCCATTGGGGCTCACTATGTGGAATCGTGTGATGAGGACACAGAAGAAGGAGCAGAACTGAGTTCAGAGGAAGATTACAGTCCGGAGAGCAGCTGGGAACCAGACGAGTGCACCCTTCTCTCCCCCTCACAGTCTGATCTGGAAGTGATTGAAACAATAGAAACCACCGTGTGAGGGTCCGAGCAGGAAGCCATGGCCTCTGATCCATGCTGAGCTTTTGTACTCGGGTCTGGTGGATCCTTTTCCCACCGCAGTTGGTATTTTCTACCCCACCCTAACAACCATAGCGGTTCACTGGTCTGCTGATTAGCTTCACTCTTAAATTAGTCTTAGAACTAAGACCTTCTTTTTCTTATAAATGGTTTTCTTTTCTTTTGTATCTTGACTTATTTTCTATGTAGCATCTGGTGTCATGAATTGTGACCCAGCCTTAATTTCACTGGGAACTCTGAAAGCAGTGAAGTGATGATTATCATGGATCAGGTTGAGGAGCTACCCACAGCAAAGGAGACAGTGTTTTCTACATAGCCAGTTCTTCACACACACACACACACACACACACACACACACACACACACTCTTGGCATTCCTTTTGGTGTGCTTGACAGGCACCCCTACCCTGCTAGTCTCCTGCGGGAATCAGCTCAGGAGAGGGGAACCGAGTGTGCACTGTAGATGCCATTTTGTCTCTTTTCCCTTCTCCTCACTGCCTGCATCTGTCTGGGCCCTTGTTGCCTCAGCTTGATTCTAGGAGGTTACTGGAGGTTTGCTTGACCCCTAGTTATGGCCCATGTCTGCATACTCTGCGTGACCTGGGGTGCAGTTAGACCTCCATTTAAGAAGAGCTGACGCCTTCAGTTTCATGTTCAGTCCATCTTCAGCTGCATGCCTATGCTCTGCAGGGTGCAGAGTGGGATGCAGACTGAGTAACACCAGACTCCTACAGGAAGGGGTCCACAATCCAGCCGAGGGCTGTGCTAACACATGCGGGTAATGGTACCCAGAATGCTCTGGGAACCCAGGGGAAGGAGAGCACTAGGCATGCAGCTGGAGAACTTGTTGCCGCATTTGAGTTGGCCTCTCGGGTGGGTTCCTCAACATTTCCCCATTTTTCTTAATTGTTCTTTGAATCTGGGGAAAACTTTTAGGAAGTTACATAGGTATTATATTTAGGAGGCAGGCACATCTGACGTCTTAAGAAAAAAAATCAATAATAGTTTTAGTTAGCATGGAAATGCTAAACACAGCAGTCCTTTAGGGATTAGGAATGAATCTAATAGGTTTGATTAATTCTGCTTCATTTGGTTGTATGAAGCATTAGAATGGCTTAGGTGAGAAATGGATTAGAATTCAGTATGATGCATGGATTTTTTATGCAAATGCAAAAGCAGTTGAAATAGTTTGCTGCTAAGTCAGGAGAAAATATTTTGTGTAATATTCATTCACTTTACTACAGTAATATTTATTGTCTGTTGTACATGTTCTCTTCTCTCACACACAGAAAATAGTGAATAATTCTTTCTTATTTAACTCTCTTATGAATTCTCCTAATTTCCATTTATACAAGGTGTTATTGTGTGAGTTGCTTATCTGCCACTTCTCCAAGTCTGCTCTCTGCGAGGCATTGTTAAAGAGTCCAGGAAGTTTAAAATACAGCCTGATGAAACGATCGCTGCCAAAGTTGGAGGTCGAGAAATACTTTCTTGCGCCCTGACTTTCCGCGAGCACGTCCTCGTGGCACTCTCTCCTGCTCTGTCCGCATTTTGGCACATCTCTTACGTGTCACGTCAGTTCGTATTTTCAGAAATAAGAAGAGGCCTGTTGTGTTCCACCCTGAAGCCTCCACTTGGCATCCTTCACAAATCACTCCAGGCAGAGTCTGCTTTCTTGGTTGTACATGTAGCTCAAGTGATTGGCTAGAACACTTTGTTAGGTCTAGGTGCCCAGAACATCCCTAGCGTTTAATTCCTTTGAAAACAGTGGTAGCTAAAGCTACCTGTGCTGGATGAGAATGTAGCATCAAGTTCCCACTGACCGAAATGTAAAGGCTCAACGAGTCAGACCAGTAAGATGGTAAGAGGAGCTCCTGAAACAGCAGGAAAGGGCAGGTGGAGGCGGGGGCATCGAGAGGGACTTTCCCAGCCCTGATGGCTTAGGGACAGACATCTGATGAGCCTGCCTGAGGTTCTCAGTGCCTCCCCTGATTGACTAGCCAGCTGAGGGCGAGCATGGAAGTCCAACCCCCATGAGCCAAGTGGTGCAGCCAGCCACTGTGTACTCAGGATCGAAGCAGCCAACACCAGGGTCCTGTTTGCACCTACCCTGTGGGTGAGCTCAGTGAAGCCCCCAGGTGGGTATATGGAAGGTCTTCTTTCCCTGCACCATTTTATCAGTTCTGTACTCTGTGCTCACATTCCTGTTCATTAAACCGAATGGAGTCAACCTCCAGGTCTCCAGAGCCATGGAAATATGTGGTCACAGGGCCACATTTCTGAGGCTGGCTGTGTCAGGGTTGGGGCCTTTATCAGTAATATTTATGACTTTTGCCTAGGTTCCTGTTTTTTAAACTCCTGAACTGCCATTCAGATTACCCATGATTTTAATGAAATTTTTGGATTTAGTAATGGTTGATAATCACTTTAAATATTTGCACAATCTCTTTATAATTAAAAATTCACTAAGCTTCACTTATTACTATTTTATAGAATTGAAGACGTTCCATTGGATTCTAAATATCATATGCTCCTGGATCTCAAAATAGCCTTTTCTAAACAAGCACAAGCAAGGGTTTCTTTGTCATAGCACTGTTAGTAATTCTCTGAAAACTATACATGATTGAACCAGAATTGTTTCTTTATGCTTGCATTCCAAAAACAACACTTAAGGATATGAAAATGGGTATTTACAACTTAAATTCTAGGCCTGTCTGTTATATATTATATAAAAGAATTTTGCCATAAACCTTATATTGCTCATTTGTATAAGCATATTTATATAGGCACTTTAGAAAATGTTTAGACTGCAATGTGTATTATAGACATTGAACACAGTCATGTTAAATAGTCTTTGGGTTAATACTTGTATGTTGACAGGTACAAAAACTTGATAATTTGAACTTGGTAGTTTGTTCGCTTGGAGTGAAAGGTTGGGCTGTGTGGATGGAGAAAGTGCTTTGGGGACCTTTATGGAAGCCTGGCACTGTTCCCTCTTCCTGAAAGTTGATATAAGAGCTGTTAAGGTGGAAGATGCAAAAGAAGTGGCTGTATGGAATTCAGCTTTCTTACCTAACGAAGATTTATTTCGGAATTCTCCAGTTTCAGATATTCTCATAACTTTTCTGAAAAATGACAAAGCAATTAAAATGCTTTTGTGGTTATAATGATTTGGTACATTAACAAATAAGGCTTTACAGTCAAATCTAGGTATTTTTTACCTTGTAATTTTTAAGATTTGAAGTAAGAAGCTGAGGGAAACCATGAAGAAAAACAGTTGCCTTCCTGGGAAAGGAAGACTTGTACTTCAAGGTAATACAATACAAAATAAAACCAAATAAACCGTCCAAACTAAAAACGGTGAAGTCGTTGTCTTCAAGTACCTTTTGGATTTGATCTAGGATACTGTTGTGGGGTTGGTGCTTTTATTTTTTAACCTCTACTTCCTGGCCTATTTGAATCACTTCTTTTGGGACTAATCAGAACAAACTCCTTTTATACAAATTTCTCTATTTGGGTAATAGGACACAACCTATTTTAGAAAACTGTCAAAATACCCAGATATGTTTGGCAGTATAAATACTACTAGGTAAGGGGTTGGGGGGAAGTACAAGTTAAACTAATATTTATATGTCAGTTCTTGATTATTCCATCTGGTTTGCAAAATTATATTGACATGTTGTGGCCTTTCACATGAGGGAAACAACATTTTAAAAGTTTTCTTTCCTGTCCCCTCTCCACAGGAGGTGAGGGCCAGAATTGAGGACGACAACTGCATTTTAAGTTTGTCTGATAGTCTGGGATTGTGTCTCTTCCCACAGAATAGGAGAGGGGAAGGAGGTGGGAGTCCTCACTGTCTCAGCGCTGTGAATTCCAGGGATGTCTGTATTTCTCACATCCAAACATAAGTATGAAGGCACTTCTCAAAATTAATTTGGGAATTACCTTTTAAAAATGTTATGTCATTACCCCCTTTCATTACTCTGGGGACTGGAGAGTTGACTGCTGTGGAAGGGCCATGTTTCTGTTAGTGCTTTGAGTTCTTTCTTCTGTTAAGACTGAAGCAGTGCTCTCTTCATAGTATGAACAATTCTGAAAGCAGATCATCACAGGAGGCTTTAATATTGAGCTTCCTTATCATTGTGTCCATATACAGTTTTTAAGGCTGTTCATCATACTTTGCAATATTCACTTTGCTAATTTTTACACCTGTCTGTTTCAAAGTTTTAAGCACAATGTTGACCCGTCTGTAATTTCCGAAAATTATATTCTGTTTTTCCTATAGACAGCTCAACTTTTCTTTATGTATAATACTTTAGAAAAATACTTAACTTGTAAAATAAATGTAATTTTTTCTTTTGTACCAACACAAATCTGATATTTTGGAGTCTGGAATATTCTCTTCCCCTCACTTTCTCCTTTGGAGAGGTTCTTATTTAGATAACACATTGTGAACTAAACAAAACAAAAACCCGCATTTGTAAAATGTGAAACTTGTATGTATACTGAGTGCTTAGTTTGTGCTAGGAAATAAGCAGTTTACATCATTATCACACTTAGACTTTACAAAAACTATGCAGTGCAGGTAAGTGTTATTATCCATAATAGTCACTCACGGTCAGATGCTCACAACGACTCCCAAAACACTTTGTAATAGGAACTTAGTAGCCACAGGAGGTTTATACAAATAAAACTTACATGCCCCCACAGTCTTTATTTCACACATAGCCACAGGCTTTGTATGTGGTTTACATGTGCTGTGTGAGACACTTCTACCCTCAGGTCTCAGGGGGGTACACTTTGTCACCCAGGCCTAGGGTCCAGATCGCAGCATGGCAAGTCCAGAAGCTCAATTCTTTAACTCACACCTGGAAAAGAGCAGCTCGTGGGCGGGGGTTTCATTGAGTAACCTCACTAGGGACTACTAAGTAAATTCATTTATCAGTAATAGTAATAATGCTGTTGAGCCCAACCTTAACTGCTTTCCACAAGTAATCCGTACAGCAGCCCTCTGAGGGGCATTTCAGGGCTGCATTTCACAAACCAGGAACAGCGCTCAAGGAGGAAAGTTTTGCCCCAAGTGGCACAGCTTCTAGTAGGAGCCAGGATTGAACCCAGTTACTTTGGCCCCAGAGCTCATGTTCTTG